TCTCAACAAGAAACAATACATTTTGGTTATTGTTAATGATTTTTCACGATTTACGTGGGTGTATTTTCTCAGATTAAAATCTGAAGTCGCTCAGATGATGATCGAATTTATCAAGAAAATTGAGAAAAGTCTGAAGAAGAGTGTTCGAAAGATCAAAAGTGATAAGGGGTCTGAGTTTAAGAACAAAGTCCTAAATTTGTTCTTAATTGAAAGAGGGATTTCGCATAATTTTTTGTCACCATATACACCACAACAAAATGGTGTCGTTGAACGAAGGAATAGGTCACTTTGCGAAGCAGTAAGAACAATGTTGACATATGCACGAGTCTTCATCAATATTTTTGGGCTGAAGCAGTATCCACAATGTGTTTTACTCAGAATCGTTCTTTTATTCATCGACGTTTCAATATCGCAACATATGAAATAATCAACAATCGAAAACCAATGGTAAATTTTTCCATGTATTTGGTTGCAGGTGCTTTATCATGAATCTCAAGGATAATCTTTCGAAGTTTCAAGCCAAGGCTAATGAAAGAGTATTTTTGGGATATGTGCACAATTCGGTTGCATATAGAGTGTTAAATAAACGAACACGAAAAGTCTAAGAAACATTCAATCTTACTTTTGATGACTATTATGTTAAACAAGTTGACAAACTCTTTGAACAAAAGCCGATAACTAATGAATTAAATGATGAAACTGAAATTATAACTTCATCTGATTTTGATTATGATTTAATTTTTGGTGTTCCTGAGTGGGCTGTAGATGTTGAAGTTCATGCGAATGATAATAATCAATCAGAATCATTAAAGCACATTGAAGGATCAGATCTTACCCAAATTCCTGATGACACTATTTCAACATTAAATTCTACAAGAATTGGTGAAAGTATGCTAAATAATCCAGTGGAGGGGGAGCACTTGGATACGAATACTCAAATTGAGGGGGAACATTCTTTTGAGGGGGAGAATGGGAGAATGATTGAAGATGTTGAGGGGGAGTATCTAGTTAAGGTAGAGCAATAGAATCAAAATAACAGTAATACGATAAGTTTTGATCTAAATGATGAATTTCATGAAATTAATGATAATCTTTTTGTTGCAGGATCAGAAAATGAAGATTTATATGAAGATGCACATTTGGATTTTGATCAGCATATCCACCACTCAAAAATGGACAAAAGATCATCCGAAAGAACAAGTAATTGGGAATCCACAAGATGGAGTTTTAACGAGAGCTCAACTTCGTGCAAAGAATGAGGTATTAAATATTCATCAAGAATTTTGCATGTTCAATGTTTTCATTTCGAAAATCGAACCAAAGACAATTAAGGATGCAATGGAACATTGTGATTGGGTTGTTGCAATGCAATCTGAATTGGCTAAGTTTGAGCGAAATATGGTTTGGAGATTAATTCCTAAACCAGAAAATATTTCGATTGTCGATTTAAAATGAATTTTCAAAAATAAAACCGACAAAGATGGAAACACTATTCGAAACAAAGTCAGACTTGTTGTAAAAGGTTACTCACAACAGGAGGGAATAGACTATGACAAAACCTTGTCGCAAGACTCGAGGCCGTTCGTATATTTCTGGTTTATACAACTTACAAAGATTTCAATGTATATCAAATGGATGTGAAGAGTGCATTTTTTAATGGAGAGCTTGAAGAAACAGTATATGTGGAACAACCCCCAGGTTTTGTCAATAAAGATCATCCTGATTATTATTATATTTTAGATGAGGCAGTTTATGGGTTAAAACAAGCACCAAGAGTCTGGTATGCAACTCTTACCTCTATCTGAAATTAATCTAAATTTAAACAAGGATCAGTTGACCCCACATTACTTCAAAAGAAAGTTGGAAAGCATTTTATGCTTGTTCAAATATATGTCGATGATATTATTTTTGGCTCTACTGACACTGTTTTATCTAATGAACTTGAAAATCTGATGAAAAGCAAAATTGAAATAAGCATGATGGAATAAATTAATAATTTTCTTAGTCTAAATATTTGTCAAAGTAGAGAAGGAATTTTTATCAACCAAGAAAAATATATGAAGAATCTGCTTGAAAAGTTTGGATTGACGAATAGCACAAAATTACAAGTACCGATGGCAACTGGAACAAGGCTGACACCTTCGTTAGATAAACCAACAGTTGACTTAATTCTTTATCGAAGCATGATAGGTTCGTTACTTTATCTCACAGTAAGTAGACATGATATCATGTTTTCTGTGGGCAATTCTGCTAGGTACCAGTCAAATCCACGAGAACCACAACTTACTGCAGTCAAGAATATTTTTTGTTATCTCAAAGGCTCAATTTCATTAGGATTGTGGTATCCTTCAAAAACTGGTTTCTTTGTTCAAGCTTTTTCAGATGCTGACTTGGGAGGTTGCAATCTTGATCGCAAAAGCACGAGTGGCGGATGTCAATTACTTGATGGAAAATTGGTGAGCTGGAAATCGAAGAAGCAAACATGTGTTTCAATTGGCTGATATTTTCACAAAACCGTTAGATGAAAAATCATTTATGAGAATTTTAGGTGGACTTGGAATGGTCGAAGGGGTTTTATTTCGAAAGAATAGCGATAACTGGACATCTGTCAGATTCAAATGTTACTGTTCATAGTCAACGCTTCGTTACCCTTCATCTTCGTAAATTGGAACTGAAAATTTTGTGTGTCTGGTATATTTCAAATATTTTCGTTAAGTAGTTTTTATTTTCGAAAAATTCAAAAACAACAAAAAGATTTTTCGTTTGTTTTGTCATTTATTTTCGAAAAATTCAAAAACAACAAAAAGATTTTTATTTTTTTCTCTTTTATTTTTGAAAAATCAAAAATCACAAAAATATTTTGTTTTGTGTTGTTTTGTCTTCATGTTTTGTTTCAGGTAACAAAGATGAATCTCAATGGTTAATGTTTGCAGTTCTAGGGTCAGGTAAATCTTTCGAAACTTTTGTAGTAGTTAAGGTGTTCCTAGAAGCATGTTGCAGCATGTTGACCAAAAGCCTCGAATGACTCTATGTGTGTTTACCGAAAGCCTTAATGAAATATTTCATACGAAAATTTCTTCCCAAGATGGGATTATATTCACATTAGTCACATGAGCTACCAAACTCTTCTCACATGAGTTAAGAGTTTACTGTTTTGTCCATAATAACAGAGGTACACACAAAATTTTAAACCAATATTTTCATCTAAACATTCTTACACGATCACACACAAAGACATATGTCCAAGAGGTCTTTGATCAAACCCATCGAGACTTAGACATATCAAAAATATGTATTAATGATCTGACATCATGAGACCGTGATGAAAGTGAAACCCAATTCTCAAGATTTTAAGGAATTGACGGGGAACTTTGCTCCATTTTTTAACGAAACTTTTGGTTCTGTACCTAGATTCGAAACTCCAAATTATATTCATTTCGTATGAGTGATCTTGATCAAATTATCGAAAACCACGATGTTTGTTACCTAACAGGATCCAGCACAAATTTTTTTTCATGAATATGATTTCCATGCGAGTTTCATTTGATTTCTAAGTCACTTTCAAATTTAATTCAAAGCATACTTGTCTCCGATTACACTGGTCAAACAAGTGATTTCTGTTACAATTTCTCACCTTATGTTTTGGATGATATGTAACGAAGTCGTGTACCCACCCATGAAGCCTTGAAAAAGAATAACTTCGAAACTTCTCAATAAGTTTTTGATTGTAATTCACGAGAAAATACACAAGCAGTTGATTATCACTCTTGATAATTAACGAAGAAACTTTTTCCCGAAGTTTAACTACTTTCGTGTGAAAATACTTTTGACATCACAAATCCAAAGTTTATTTTTGTTTGATTCTTATCTTTTTCTTTAACACACTGCACTCACGAAATCCTTGAGATTCTGAGTAATACCAACTCAGGCTGATGATTTCGAAACTCTGGCACATGACTTCGCTTTAAATCCTAAAAGTGAAAGAGCCTAATCTCCATCCGAAGGTTGCTGACAATGCATGTTACATTGGGGGAAATAAAAGGCTGTGAGAAGTGACGTCTTGTATTCTATCCGATTTTCAAGGAGAAGTGACAATTACTTTTTCATGCGTGGCTACTTTATTGTCATAGTGGTGTGAGTTTCAAGGTGCCATGTCAGATTTCATTAAATGCAAAGAAGACAAAGAAGAGGCAGATAGTAATTCCAACGGAATCATCCGAAGAAGAAGAAGTGCTTGAAACACCCGAACCCGAACCTATTATAGACCCTACTTCTATTGAGAAGACTATTGTCATAGGACCTGAAGTATTGCCTGCCAAATTATCTCATGAGGAGGTACGAACTCCAGAAATCACTACAACCGTATCTGGTACGGGTGTAAATGTCCTCATGGGTGAAGGAGATCTATCGAAGGAAACTACTCAACCTCAACAAGGTACTCCAGTTACTGTTTCTGTCGAACCCATTACTAGTACCTTTGTTTCTTTACCTCCATTTATCATCCCTACTACTTCCACCACTGATTCACCAACCTTTCAAAACATCATCGACCAACCCTTTACATCCATTTTTTCATCTCAATCCACTGAGCCACCTAAAACGAATGATGAATCTGATAACGAACAAGGTGGCTTTGGAGGTACTTTTGAAGATATGGCTTTTGATGAAGAAGAAGAGGATTTCCCTGACCACATGCTGATATCTATGAAACAGTTCAAGATTCTAAATAAAAAGTGGAATTCAATTATTCAGTCTCAAGCAGACATGGGGGAGGAAGTTCAGTGTCCAATTTCGAAATTGATGGACTGATGAAGGCTTTTGAGGCACGAATGGTGAGCAGAGTCTCTGGTATGATCAAAGACTCATAATCGAGAATCCTAGAGAAGGTAGATCATGCTGATCAAACAAAAGAGTTAAGGATAAATTCTTTCAATTCAAAGTATGTGGGAGCTGTGAAAGAATTAACTAATATTCAAAAGGAACGACACACATTGTTCGTTATGGATGTAAAGAAGGTGAGAGAAGATGTTAATTTGAAGCATCAAGAGCTTCATGATGACATGCTTCGTGAAGTTGCAGTTGTTCAGAATGATTATGCCACTCTGTATAAGAAAGCTGATATTATATGTGATATTGTCATGAAATATGTTACATTGTACGAAAGCTTGAGTCCTCAAATTACTCAACTTTATACAACTGATAATCAACAGTTTGGGGACGTTATTTTAATGCTCAAAGATTTGAAGGAGTCGGTACTCAAGCCTGCTACATCTTCGATAATTACTCCAGAGTTTCTCTCACAAAAGCTTACACAGTTTGAAGCCATTCTCCATAAACAACTAGCTCCTCTGTCAACCATTTCAAATCTTCTGCCAACTGGTGCAAGGGGGACAAAAGAAAGTTGGAGAAGGTTCTCATGCGAAGGCTGGAGGTGATGATTCACATGGAGAAGCTAAAGTTGAGGGCAAAAACTTGATGTGTATGAAACTAACTAGTTTTAATCCTACTTTTTATTAATAAATTAAGCACACAAAGGCAGTGAACCCGTCTTTTAGTGGTATAGTTAGATAAGTAGGGTGTCGAACTCAGGGAACGGAAATTAATCTAATAACTAATTTTAACTAAGCAAGTAATAAAAGTAAACGGGTTTTTTTCTCTATTTTTACAAGACTAAAAACTTAAACATAGCAATTAAAACAATTAATTAACTAACAATTAAAGCAAATGACAAATTCACCAAATTTATTAAAGGGTTTCTATTTAGGTTCAACTAATTCACTCCTATGGTTATGTAAATGATAAATTAATTATTATTGGTTACCAACTATAGTGATTAGGTTCATGTTCATTACTCCTAACCCTTAGACAATTAATCAATTCAAGCAGTGGCCAATTGTTTAAACTAACTAATTCCCTAGTTCAATTATTTGGATTAAATAAGATTTGTAATTGGTTGATCAATTTGGTGTTTCAATTAACCTCTTGTTTGTTCATTTCTTAAACAAGCTCACACATTAATTTACCTATTCTCTAATTAATCTTAATTTCATATTCATTACTCTTAAGCATATGATCAAGTGTTCACATAACATATGAGATTAATAATCAAGAGATGTTCATGCAGCTTAATTACCTTCCAATTAACAGAAAATAGTTGTTATTAATGCATAAGGTTCTTTAACAAACTTAATTTAATAAAATCACCAAAAAATAATCAATCAAAAACTATATTCTAAGCCATAGGAGTAAACTAGTCTTCCCCAACAGAAACAAAACGAATTTAGTTCATAGTCATAATAAAAACAAACTCATAAGCAGATTTAACTAAGCTAAACATACTTAATTCCTAAAGCTAAGTGGAATGATTAACCTAATTGCCTTGATTCTTCCAAGGATTGAAGATTAGGGTTCCTTAGCTCCTCCTAGGGTTCTTTTTCGCAGGTTCAGCTCTCAAAATCGCCAAAAGTCCTTTCCAATCGGATAATAGTTCGATACATATAATTATCTCAAAACAGGGTGTACTCAGCGAGTAGCAGACCCAACTCGCCGAGTAATTGCTAGTTATCCGTCTCAAATCAGGAGTCTTGACTTATATTTTGGAATATTCTAATGTACTCGCCGAGTAGGCTTGAGAACTCGCCGAGTAGGAAAGCTTTTGTCCCTCATTCTTCATTATTTGGTCTCTAATTGCTTCCCCTTGTTCCCTTTCACTCCCAAGCATGTCTTTTGGACTGAAAACAAAATTTAAACATTATTAAGTACCTTTTGTCCACATTACACACATAATTAGTTAAAATGAATAAAAATGTATGCTAAATAATTAACTAATTATGCACATATCAAAGGCCCATTAGGGTTTTAGTCCCACATTGTCCAAACATCCCCCAAACAAGGTCCAAGCGCAATCAAAGCACACCGCCACCCGACACGGCGGTCGGTGGCAGCAGGAGGCGGAAACCACCACCCTACGGTGGTGGTTTAAACTTTTCTTTTCATTATTCCTACTCTATTACAGTTTTACAAAACAATATCAATAAAAAACACACACACTAAGCTACACACACTAATAAAACACACACACACATCCTTTGCTCGGAACATAAACCCAACACCCACCTATGGTGGGTAGCGACGACAGTAGCACAAGAAACGGCGACAGCAGCTTCGTTAACGGTGGCAACCACCATGGCCGACTGCCATGGTCGTCCTTCATGCCTTTCACTTAACATAACCCTCCCCCATACACCATCGCATAACAAGCAACAAACCCGACAACCATGTCATGGCGGCATACGACAGACGCCGGGCATCAGAGATGTTGAGAGACCTCTGGACGGCAGCGGTGATGTAGTCATGTGGACAGAAATAAGGAGATGAGGAGGTTTGTCGTTGCCAGTAGCAACGGAAGCCATGACAACGTCGGTTTGGTGATTCCCAGCTTGCATAGCGGAGGGGCGGTGGTCCGGTGACATCGCTGCAACAAAAGAACGGGGGAGAAGAAGGGGGTTACGACCCCGACTTTGCGAACAGTGGCGACAGTCGACAAATCAATCATTGATTCAACGTCGCTTGTGGATTTTCGTCACTGACAGGGGTTTAATCGATGATTGGCTTCGCTTGGACGACACCGATGATGAGAGGGCGGCATAAAGGGTTGCAGCACCGGAGTTGGAGAAGGAAGGTGGTGGAGGCTGCCATCTCTATTAGGATTACGGTTTGAGTGCATGAGTTAGGATGAATATATATGGGCTAACGGGAGTGACGGGTTCACCCATGTCCATCCCCAACCATTTTCATATTTTACACATTTAGTCCCTCTCCATAAGAACTCTTTTCAACTTAAGTCCCCAAAATTACCATGCAGTCCCTACTTTTACTAAATCTTTTCAATCTAAGCCCGACATTTACCAATCAACCCCTGTCTTCAAAATCCTTACAAAATAAGTCCCGAACTTACACTTTAATCCTTGGAGATCAAAAGTATATCATTTGGCACCCCAAACCCAACTCCCCGCTAATCATTATATAATTTTCGACAATAAATATATAAAATCATAATAAAATTACTTCTCGGAGTTCCGGGTTTAGCACTAATTATCTTGTTTTAAACGATATGTTACAACTCTCCCCCACTTAAATTTGATTTCGTCCTCGAAATCATTTATTCTCTTTCCTTACATGCCAAACAACTTGAACTACAACATCGATCATAACCCTATTCTCTCCAAGGGAATCGTAACCAACCCTTGCAGGGTTCTAAAACATGAAAATAAACGAATCCCCTGCAATTTGATCACATTCACTCAATCTAAAACTGAAGTCTTGAGATGGTTTGGCTCCCTGACAGAACTCTCATACCAATCATTATTGTTGCGCCCAATCTGCTTGTCTCTCATCTAACTGTTCAAATCATGATATCTGGGGGGGGGGTGTTCCAACATCTGGATAATTCTCATATACCTAAAGACCCAATTTATCAATACCACCCTGAACACAGAAACTGTCTGAACACTGATATGCCTGAAGCGGTATGCTGCCACATGGCTGCTTTTTAAAATCTACCGAGACTTCCCTGGTCTCAATTTGTTCACTAGTCATCTGACATACCAGGTTCTGGCCTGGTCTCGAAGCTAAAGAAATCCCACATAGTTGCCTCACACGAATTTCGAACGAAATCTTTCTGTGGAACTAGTTACCACTAATTATCATGCCACTGCAACTCTAATAACCTCCTGATCCAACCGATTGGACCCATGCGTCAAATCATGACGTTACCAACTCCACGGCTAAAATCGAATACTACATGACCAATGGTGGCCTTACATCACCAACAACCTTAAATAATTCATTGCTTCCTTGATCCCATAACTGTAGGGATGTTCATACAGTCTTATCACTGGCTTAACTAGGTCTAATCACTCTGGGGAAAGCCATAAGCCAATCCGTGGATTTCCATATCCTCACTGCTACACTGAAACTGGTGGTTACTACTATCCCTTCCGCATACTAACAATGCTCTCATGCTATCTACCGATCTAGTGAATGTTACAGCTACACCTACAGACTAACAACACTTCCCATATCGGTCGAACATGCACTCGCCCTAACACACAACTAAACTTAATTCATGGCTAGAGTCCCAGCCTGATTTCCCCAAGTTCTATTATCAAACAACGAGAAGATGTGATTCGCGGGCTGGGGAGTTTTACTGAACTCCCAAATCACGCCACACTCAAACCAAGTAGCCATTAGGGTTGTCTTCCTTCCTGAAAATGATGCGAAACTTATCCCAGCTTCAAAACCGATCATGCTTCTACATTCTAAGACGATTCTCCCCCACTTAGACTCAACTAAGTCTTCACAATACATGAAAATTTGAGAATTCCCAATCCTTCTCACTTTCCAACAATCGATCTAATGACAACAAGACCTTCCCAACTAGTGCTCCTTTACTAACCAACCACAAGTGATCACACACTTTTATGAACTAGCTGAACACTTCTTGAATCCCAGTGAAACCGACAGTCCCTATTTCTTGAATGATACTACACTCAAATCTTAAGGACCAAAAGATAGATGCTATACAAATACTTTGGCAATAATCTATTTCCTTCGACGCTCTCATACGCTAATTAATAACGATTACTAAAACCATTGAATCCTGACAATGCTGAATAACCATCTTGTGGGACCCTGTCCATAGACCTCCCACATAATACCCTTCTTCCCAAAGTACTCCAACCAATCTCCCAATCTTGGCTCTAGAAATCATATCATTCAGGGCCATGCACCCTGACTCACTCACCAGCTCGATCATCCGCAGCTGAACTGCGATAGTTGAAACAACCTCTGCCCTAAACTGGGCTACAACTACTTCCAGGACATAGTCTACAATCCCAAAAGTACAATAGATTGCACAATCAATCCTTACCACCTGACACAAGAGATTAAAGGTGAACCGAATCTCACATAATACTTCTGCCATATTGACCCATGTGACTAACTGACCCGAACTGGAACACAATCTGATCCTAGGGTCACAAGTCTGCTCTCTCCTCGAAGCTCAAGAACTGGAAGGGAAAAATCCTTGCCTCAGAAAACGACATTCCCATCTATCAGTTAACTATTTTGCTTCCAGATGCAAAACTCCAGCTGATCATAATTAACAATCCTTTTCGGAGTCCTCTTAACTCACATTTCGGCATCAGGCAAAACCCCCGAAGCCTAACATCTAGCACTCATGTGCTAGTCTCTCCTACTCAACTCGCTGAGTGGAATGAGTACATAACATCTCCCTGATCACAAATAACTGCAGCCCTCTGCTCATCATAATATGTCCCGGTAACAAGTCCCAGTACTAGAAAGCTCAACCAGCTCCTTCCCCTGCCGTCGTTACAGTTGCTATAGCTGCCACGAGAATCATCTTGGAACTAGTTGTATAGCGCTCGTCGAAATACTCAACCATGGTGGTCTTGATAGACCCAAACATCTCCAGCAACTATCCCCAAATAATCTCGATCACCTCCTCCCGGATGATCTCACCGTCATCAGCCTCTGACAATGCTGACCTATCCTAGATGTCAACTCTCGATCCTGACCCGGATCCATCTCAAGACGTATCGTAACCACCATTCTGGTAATTCACCATAAAGATCTATGATAATCCATATAATAACAGGGAACCAACTCCCAAACCCAACCCTAGGGGTTGTGACTTCCTTGATACGCGTATGGATCCTGTGCTTTCAGTAGTACGAACCCATACTACCTTCCACACCTACCCATATTTGTCTCAAGTATCATCACAATTCCCTAACAATATACGTAATCATAGTGAGCGCTCAATCCTCACTCGCAGAGGAATGCTAAATATCACATAACTGGCCTCCCGGCCTCACACAACCCACCCATCCATGAAACTTCCACCAACCCTGCAACACTAGTGTATGCTAGCCATACATAATGTTGGACCCCATAGACTTTCGAATCTCCAATCCTACCCTAAGCTCCTAATCAAACAAGAACAGAACATAAGGCCAAATCAAACATTCTCAGGCTATACGATCTTAATTATGTATAACTGTGATGCATACACTAAACAACTTGCAGTAATGATGTCAATCTCATATAGAGGAAACCCTATGCTATCAGGAATCATATAATCAAATAATTCTATCATACAATTCCTGAAGATCCCTAGCCTAGTACTAGCATGCTGCTCTAACATATCACAATATCAAATAACTATATGGTATTTTGGGGTCTACTTACTGGCTCCGGCTGATCGTACACCCTGCATCCTCCTTTACTTATTTTGCAAACCATTTAAAAACCATTTTGAAAATATTTCCTTGATTTGAGACTGGATTCACACGAATGTTCCTCCAATTCACTCAAACCAAGGCTCTGATACCAACTTGCAACGAACGTAAAATTCAAGCCAATTTTAAACTTTTAAAAACATTTAGAAACCAACATTTATTACAAATTTGTTTTCAAAACAGTTCTATATCAAAGTATCCTAGAAACATAGTCATAAAAAGTGAGGAGCTGTACAATCACGCCTTTGCCTTGCCACAATCCCCTGATGTACCTGAAACAATAAACTGAAACTGTAAGCCTAAAAGCTTAGTGAGTTCCCCCAAAATACGGATACATATACAATCCACATAGCAATATCAACATTAACATATCATATCAATCAAAACAGAACAGCATGCACTGGGTCCACAACTTTACAAGTTGGACTACCCCTGGGCCCTCAGTACGAGTCTGGAATGCCTACCGGACCCTCAGCTCGTATCTGGAATGCCATCGAGCCCTCAGTACGAGTCTGGAATGCCTACCGGGCCCTCAGCTCGTATCTAGAATGCCTACCGGGCCCTCGGCTCGTATCTGGAATGCTCTTGAGTCCTCAGTATGAGTCTGGAATGCCTACCGGGCCCTCAGCTCATATCTGGAATACTCTCGGGTTTGTTGGCTACCGCACGGAGCAATACAACCTCAACCCACCCCACATAACATGTCTACATGTAACAAATAAATGCACATACAGGTAATCAATCAATCAGTATCACAGGCTATCTTATAGATCTACCCGACTAGCATATCAACTGGCATACATTACTAACTCAACTCAACATATCAATGACTACTAGGATATCAAATCCAATGGGCTGACCTTGGTGCCTTAGACCCCTTACTATAGTGAGGATAACTCAGCTCGAAATGTTGAAGTCCCGTATATACAATCCCAACTACTGGATGACAGATTCCCAAACTATCAATATCAAAACATCACCCAATTAATAATTGGGTCCAAACACATAACCACACATTGTTGGAGTAACAAGCTACATTACCCTATATTGGTTTGATTCAAGCCCAAGGCCCAAACCAAAGACCCAAAAGTCAAACTAGGAATCAAAGCCCAACATACGACCCTATTTTCCAAATTGAGCCCAAACCTATACATGGTCTTATTCTAAGGCCCAACATCATATAATCATTAAGGCCCAACTATGACCCATCTATGGCCCAATTTTCCAAATTGGGCCCAAGCCCTTACATGGGCCTTACCCTAGTCCCATTAAATTATTTTAGTCCATATGATTATTCCTGAATGGCCCATTAATAATCCAATCATCAAGGCCCAACAATAAACCCAAGTGAAGTTAGGGTTTCACATAAAATGCCGATTAGGGTTAAGCTTCCTACTTAACCCATTAAGGACTTAATCCACTAAGGACTTAATCCATTGAGTCCAATATTGCTTAGATTAATTTCTGCCAATTATTATTATTTAATATTTCAAGTTATTAAATAATTCTCGAGTGTGTCCAAAACGATTTCCACAATTAAGGTTTTATGCCCTTAGGGTTTTCCAACCCAATACTAGCACATTAGTGCCTTTGTTGGCCTTTTAGGTCACTTTGGACCTTATTAGGTCAATTAAGGTCTCTTTGGGTCAATTAGGGTCCACTAGACCCATTAGGGTCTCCTTAAGCCCATTAATCACATGTTTGGGCTTTTATGTCCATTAAGCCTCATTGGGCCCATTAGCGTTTCAAGGCCCATTAGGGTTTTAGTCCCACATTGTCCAAACATCCCCCAAACGAGGTCCAAGCGCAATCAAAGCACACCGCCACCCGACACGGCGGCCGGTGGCGGCAGGAGGCAGCAACCACCACCCTACGGTGGTGGTTTGAACTTTTCTTTTCATTATTCCTACTCTATTATAGTTTTACAAAACAATCTCAATAACAAACACACACACTAAGCTACACACACTAATAAAACACACACACACACACATCCTTTGCTCGGAACATAAACCCAACACCCACCTATGGTGGGTAGCGACGGCAGTAGCACAAGAAACGGCGACAACAACTTCGTTAACGGTGGCAGCCACCATGGCCGACTGCCATGGTGGTCCTTCATGCCTTTCACTTAATGTGACATCCCCAAAATCACGGCCAGAAAAGACCGGTTTTGTTTATACTTTATTTCAAAATCAGAGTTATCTTTTAATAAAAGGGTTGCGGAATTTGTCCCAAAACAATAATATGATAAAGATTTATCAAAAGCATTTCCATAGAAATGTATTTCATTAAAAGACTTGGGATGTCATGTTCGTACAGATCAAAAGTATAAACAGTACAATATAAGCCTTACTACATTATTTCATATCTACAGGCCTATATCCGTAATCCCTCGTCCAAAACATCACACCTATGCTCATGCGCCACTACCTGTAACGCGCATAAAACTGAGTGGGTCAGGCTTGGGAGCCTTTGTGAGCACATAGGGTTTTCAACCCACAATAAATAAGTTTATTAATTTCATCAATCAACAATAACCCGATTACCCGTTCCCGTTATCCTCACTTTACGTCCCTAAACACCTATCATAAGGGACCTAGCCTAAGGATCATCATAAGGGGATTCCTCAGCAATAAATGTCCTAATAGGCAACCATGTGGGGGATGGAGTACACCGGTGAACACATCGTTCACAACACCTACAGGTTGCGAGCCTGCTAGTGTTCTACTGGACTGTCTAGAAGAGTCCGTGGTCGTCATCTATACTCCGCTAGATGACTGGATCAACAACAACAACATCGAGGCCTCTCATCATTTTATCACACATCACCTATTACATCTACCCATGTTTTACCCCAACATTTTCGTAGATATAAAATACATATACAGTTTAAATCATTGAAAACATGTATAACAACGTTCATCTAATGTAGATAGCAAGTATTCAGATAATATGCACACATAGCACGTAATTTATATAAGATACTTCATATCTATGTGTAAGCTGAAAGTAACTATGCACTCACCGGAAAAGATGGTGATTCCGAACTCAGACAGCGCTTCGCTTCTTAAAAAGAATTTTTTCTTCGACGAAACCTAGTATTATTACCACTAGAGTTTAGTTTATTATTCGTCGAGACTAATTAATAGTCTAGCTATTATTATTATTATTATTATTATTATTATTATATAAGCGTCAAAAAAATACTTATATAACCCATAATAATAGCCCAAGTATTTATTATAAGTTCCTAATAACGTTACTATAATTAAATAAAAGTTATATTAAAAATAGCGTAGGCGTAGCTCACTTACAGCGGGTTTTATAGAAAACCGGGCTTTGCTTGGAGCAGCGTTCCCGAGCCGAAAAGCTCTTCTTCTCAGAGCCTTCGAGCACTCCGGGGCTTCCGCCTCGTGCTAAAGGAGGTTCCCTAGGCTTTTCGGGGGATTTCGGGGCTAGAGAGAGGTTCTAGAGAGAGAGAGAGTAAAGAGAAGAAAGAATGGGAAAGGTGTGAAGAAAATGAGGGTGGGAGAGGTGGTATTTATAGGGTGAAATGTGGCTGAACTTGGTGCCACATGTCACCATCTGGTGGCAAGCCTTGGGGAGAAAGCAATGGCCAAGATTGTGTCACATCACCCATTTTCGCACAGCACACTTCCGACTTCTAAAATCCGTAACTTTCACATACGACCTCCATTTTTGACGTTCTTTATATCCACGCGTAGGTAATAATAAGATCTACAACTTTCATTTTGACACCGTCAGCTAATTCTCGACCGATCTTAAATTTAACAGTACAAGGAGATTATACTGTTAAACGTCTGCGTAAAATTAATAACTTCTACATACGGACTCTGTTTTTGTCTGTCTTTTTACCGTTGATTTCCTATTAATGAGATCTTCAACTCTTATTTGCGTTGCGTAAGCCAAAAACCGCTCGAACTAAAATTCGAGTTTCAGGCCGTGCACTGCTAAGCCGAATCTTAGAAAAACCATAACTTCTTCATACGAAGTCAGATTTGGGCGTTCTTTTTATCGATGTTCTTAGTTTAACATATTCTACGACTTTTGTTTAGATTGATAAGGCTAAAAAGTCTTCTATCGTAAATTCACTATTTACGTCTCCCGGTGTCGTGCCGGTTTTGCCGTAAAATTTCGCCCGGGCCATAACTTCTTCGTTATAGCTCGGATTTCGGCATTCTTTATATGTACGGAAACCTTGAGACATATTCTACAACTTTATGTAGAGATATCGGGATTATCTCACACTTTAATTTTGATGCTCATTTTTATTCTTTATTAATTATACATTTATAATTAAATAATAAACACATAAACACACATAATTCACATAATACTCAAATATTTCATATTTATTACTTCAAAAAGAGTTACAATAGTTGACCTAGACTATTACATTAACAAAAATTCTTAGCCCTGAAAACCCGGGCGTTACACTTAACATAACCCTCCCCCACATGCCATCTCATAACAAGCCACAGACTCGACAACCATGTCATGGCGGCATACGATAGAAGCCGAGCATCAGAGATGTTGAGAGACCTCTGGACGACAGCGGTGACGTAGTCATATGGAGAGAAATAAGGAGATGAGGAGGTTTGTCGTTGCCAGTAGTAACGAAAGCAATAACAACGTTGGTTTGGTGATTCCCAACTTGCATAGCGGAGGGGCGGTGGTCCGGTGACATCGCTGCAACAAAAGAACGGGGAGAAGAAGGGGTTACGACCCCGACTTTGCGAACAGCGGCGACAGTTGACAAATCAATCGTTGATTCGACGTCGCTTGTGGCTTTTCGTCACTGACAGGGGTTTCGTCGATGATTAGCTTCGCTTGGACGACACCTATGATGAGAGGCGGCATAAATTGTTGCAGCGCCGGAGTTGGAGAAAGAAGGTGGTGGTAGCTACCATCTCTATTAGGGTTAGGGTTTGAGTGCATGAGTTAGGATGAATATATATGGGCTAACGGGAGTGACGGGTTCACCCATGTCCATCCCCAACCATTTGCATATTTTACACATTTAGTCCCTCTCCATAAGAACTCTTTTCAACTTAAGTCCCCAAAATTACCATGCAGCCCTTACTTTTACTAAATCTTTTCAATCTAAGCCCGACATTTACCAATCAACCCCTGTCTTCAAAATCCTTACAAAATAAGTACTGAACTTACACTTTAATCCTTGGAGATCAAAAGTATATCATTTGGCACTCCAAACCTAACACCCCGCTAATCATTATATAATTTTTGACAGTAAATATATAAAATAATAGTAAAATTACTTCTCGGTGTTCCGGGTTTATCACTAATTATCTTGTTTTAAACAGGATGTTACATCTGCATAGCGCTCATCAAAATACTCGACCATGGCAGTCTTAATCGACCCAAACCTCATCATGCAGGATTTCACGAATCCTAGCATCCAACTCGTCTGTGCTTATCTGACTGATAACCTTGGGTGGTGCTGATCCACCCTGACTGCCCTCTCCTACTCCCAATCCCGACCTGGATCCACTCCTAGCATGCCTCGTAACCACCATACTAAAAAACACCGCAAACATCAGAAACCACCCACTAACCCAGGAACCGACTCTCAACCCAGCCCTAGGGGTTGTGACTTCCTTGATGCGCGTATGGGCCCTGTGCTTTCAGTAGTACGGGCCCATAATACCTTCCACACATACCCATATTTATATCAAGTATCACCATAACACCCTAGAGAAGAACAGGCATAACAAGCACTCAACCCTCACTCCCAGAGGAACACTGGAAATCTCATACAAAAGAAAACCCTAGACCATCAAGCACCATAAATCAGGCAAATCTATCATGCCATTCCTGAAGATCCCTAGCCTAGTACTAGCATGTGGTTCTATCATATCACATAAACAAATAACTTGCATGGTATTTCGGGGCTATTTACTGGCTCCGGCTGATCATACCTCCGTGTCCTCCTTTACTCATTTTAAAAACCATTTTAAATTCTCATTTTGAAAACTCTCCTTGATTTGAGACTTGATTCACACGAATGTTCCTCCAATTCACTCAAACCAAGGCTCTGATACCAACTTGTAACGACCATAAAATTCAAGCCAATTTAAACTTTTCAAAAACAACCCAATTTCATAAAGTTAATACAAAAAGGTTCTCAATACATTTATTATCAGAGTATTTTCCCAGAACCACATCATAAACACATAAAACATGAGGAGCGGTACGATCATGCCTTTTCCTTGCCACGGTCTCCTGAAGTACCTGAAACATTTTAAACCACAACTGTATGCCCGAAAGCTTAGTGAAATACCCCCAAAATACCAACCACATATACCATACACATGCTATCAATTTGAATAATTCGATTATTCTTAGTAAACTCAATTATTCTGGAAGTCAAAACATGCATAGTTAAACAATTAACACAAGACAGTAACATTACTCATAAATAATACTCTTTTATTTAATTATCAAATGTTAATTACATTTTTCTATCATGCGTTTCTAACACTATCTAATCTATACTAATATCATCCTTCAGCCCAATGCTCCTAACATGTTGCAAGTGCTTAACCTTGTTCAGTCCCTTTGTAAGCGGATCTGTTGGGTTATCTTCTAATGATATCCTCTTCACCACGAGTTGTCCTTCTTCTACACGATGTCTTATAAAATGATATTTTCTGTCGATATGTCAAGATCTACCATGATCCCTTGGTTTCTTGGTAAAGGCAACCGCTCCTTCATTATCACAGAAAATCTCCATGGGCTCCTTTATGGTAGGTACAACTCCAAGATCACCAATGAAGTTCTTTAACTATATTACCTCTTTCGATGCTTCGCTCATTGCGATGTACTCTGATTCACACATTGAATCAGCTACGGTTTCTTGTGTGGAACTTCTCCAAGTTACTGCTCCTCCATTTAGGGTAAAGACCCAGCCCGACTGCGAACGATAGTTGTCCCTGTCGGTCTGAAAGCTGGCGTCACTATACCCTCGTACCTTCAAGCCATCACTCCCTCCGAGGACTAAAAACCATTCCTTGGTCCTACGAAGGTACTTAAGGATATTCTTCACCGCAATCCAATGGGCTCTGCCAAGGTTCCCTTGATATCTACTAACCATGCTCAAAGCAAAGGCTACATCAGGGGAAGTACAAGTCATAGCATACATGATTGAGCCAACTGCGGAAGCATATGGTACTCGGCTCATTTCTTCTATTTCGGCTTTGGTACTCGTACTTTGAGTCTTACTCAACTTGGCATTATATTGTATCGGTAATTCTCCCTTCTTCGAGTTTTCCATACTAAAACATTTTAGTACTTTATCTAAGTAAGTGTTCTGACTAAGTCCTATTAGTCTGTTACTTCGTTCTCTCACTATCCTTATACCCAGAATATAGGAAGCCTCTTCGAGGTCCTTCATAGCGAAGCACTTCCCGAGCCAGGACTTAATCTCCTGCAGTGTCGGGATGTCATTTCCTATGAGCAGTATGTCATCGACATACAAAACGAGAAAGCTAACTATACTCCCACTGGCTTTGACATATACACATGATTCATCTTCACTTCGTACAAATCCAAACTCTTTGACTTTCTCATCGAAGTAAAGATTCCATTTGCGAGACGCTTGCTTAAGTCCATAAATGGACTTCTCAAGCTTACACACTCTATTTGGATGCTTCGAATCGACAAAACCCTCTAGTTGAGCCATGTAAACATCCTCAGCCAACTTCCCATTAAGGAAAGTGGTTTTGACATCCATTTGCCAAATCTCATAATCATGAAATGCGGCAATTGCTAGCATCACTCTAATAGATTTTATCTTTGCAACTGATGAGAAGGTCTCATCATAGTCAACTACGGGAGTTTGAGTAAAACCCTTCGCAACCAATCGCACCTTATATGTGTGTACGTTTCCATCCACGTCGGTCTTCTTCTTGAAGATCCATTTTCACCCAACGGTCTTATGTCTGGGCACGTTATCAACCAAATTCCAAACTTGGTTTTCATACATGGACTGGATCTCGCTGTCCATTGCCTCTTTCCATTTTGCAGACTTCAGGCCTGCCATGGCTTCCTTATAGCTATTAGGTTCATCTAGATTTATTAGTATACTATCACTAATATACGTGTCCCTTTCGGTAGTAATATGAAAACCATATAACTGGGGTTGAACTCTAACTCTTTCAGAACGTCTAAGAGGTAAGGACTCGTCAATCGGTTCAACCGGAGTTTCCTCCTCGGGTTGAGGGCCAGCGGTAGAGGTTCCTTCATCTATCGACTCTTGAATCTGTTCAAGCTCGATTTTCCTCCCACTATCTCCTTGACTTATGAGTTCTCTCTCTTGGAAAACTCCTCTCCTTGCAACAAAGACAACATTGTCCTTCTGTCTATAGAAGAGATATCCAAAGGATTTCTGTGGGTAGCCGATGAAAATACATCGCTCACTACGAGGTTCGAGTTTGTCGTGAGTATCTCGTCTTACGAAAGCCTCGCAACCCCAAACCTTGATATGTGCTAACGAGGGAGTTTTCCCTGTCCACATCTCGTGAGGTGTTTTGGCAACCTTCTTAGTAGGGACTCGCTTAAGGATATGGGCAACAGTCTCTAAGGCATACCCCCAGAATGAGATAGATAGTGAAGCACGACTCATCATAGAGCGTACCATGTCCAACAAGGTTCGATTACGCCCTTCTGCCACACCATTCAATTGTGGTGTCCTAGGTGGCGTCAAATGTGAAACTATTCCACACTCTTTAGATAGTCGTGAAATTCAAGACTTAGGTACTCTCCTCCTCGATCAGATCGAAGCATCTTGATTTTCCTGCCCAACTGATTCTCCGCCTCATTCTTGAACTCTTTGAACTTTTCAAATGTTTCTGACTTTTGCTTGATTAAGTAGATATACCCATATCTACTATAGTCATCGGTAAAAGTCACATAGAAGCGGTTCCCATCCTTTGTGGTTGATCTAAACGGTCCACATACATCGGTATGTATTAGGTCCAATAAACCCTCACCCCTTTTACATTTGCTAGTGAAGGGTGACTTAGTCATCTTTCCAAGTAAACAAGATTCGCATGTGTCATCTTCCCTAAGGTCGAATGACTCCAACACTCCATCCTTTTGGAGTTGGGCTATGCGCTTCTTATTGACATGTCCAAGACGACAATGCCACAAGGATGTTCTATCCATACTATTGGAAGAATCCATGCATAAAACATCATTTCCTAGGTTATCTACAATCATAACAGTTTCATAAATTCCATTACATGGTATTGCTTCAAAATATAAGACACCATTTAGATAAGCACAAATAGAACCAGTCTCATTATTAAAAGAAAATCTAAATCCTTGTCTAAACAAACCATGAAATGAAATGATGTTTCTTGCCATTTCTGGCGAATAGCAACAATTGTTCAAATCTAAACATAAACCATTTCTAAGCACTAGAGAATACACTCCAATCTTGGTCATAGGCGACGATCTTCTATTCCCCATGATTAGATTTATTCTTCCATGCTCCAGATCCCTATTTCTTCTTAGTCCCTGCAATTCAGAACAAATGTGGTAACCACACCCGGTATCGAGGAGCCAAGAAATAACATGAGATGAATCATTAGATTTAATTTTATATATACCCTCGAAAGACGGCTTGATCTTTCCTTCCTTGATAGCTTCCAGGTACTCTGGGCAGCTTCTCTTCCAATGCCCTATTTTGTGGCAATGGTGGCACTCTGCCTCCTTTGGGTTAGAGTTAGGCTTAGCAGGATCAACTTTGGTCCCACTAGAGGAGGAACCATCTCGGGACTTTCCCTTGTGGTGGCTCTTAGACGTAGCCTTCCTCTTCTTGCCTCTTCCTTGCCTAATGGCCCAAACAGGAGCAGCGGGTGGATTGGGAGTGGGTGCAACGGACTTATCCTTGAGATTGCTCTCAGCAACCCTAA